TCATCATGCTTAGAGAAATTGTGTGGGTTTTTCAAATTATTAAATCTATTTCCTCCCCTTTACTACCCCTCCTCAAAAAAAATTAAAAAACACCCACTTTAAATTGAAATCCAAACATATAAACACCCTTTTTAACATACTGCATGCCCCCAAGAAATCTAAAGGATTGGAAACTAGCATTAAAATAGTTTTTATTAAAAATACAAAGTTGTTTATCCTTATAATTGATTTTTTAAAAATTGGTCATTTTTGTTAGAGCTGAAAGAGACTTTAAAGATGTAGTTTAACTTCTTTTACTGATGATGAAACTGGGGTCCAAAGACATTCACTGACTTGCCCAAAGTCTCTCAGCTAGCAAATTGTGAAACTGTGACTAAATCTCAGGTCTTCTGAACTCCCAGCCCTCCCTCCAATACCTTCCTACTGGGATAATACACTAGGAGTGACACCATGAATATGCATGAACTACGGTAATATTGGAGAGATAACTGAGGAAATCATTCACATTTCAGGAGAGAAAATATTTGAATGACTGAGAACAAATCCCTCCTGCCAGCAGCCAACTACAGAAGAACACATTCTGGGGTCAGCTGCTTCAAAGCTCACTCCTGAGCATCACTGTGTTATCCTAGGAACCGAGATCCACTTAAAAATTACATTTGGTGGGCTGTGAGAAGGAAAATGGGAGGTGTATTGTTTGTCACAGGTTTCTGTGGTCTTTGGTTCTTTCATTGATTTAGAAAAATAGTTTCCCCAATGTGAGCAAAGATAGGTGTGTTGAAAGAAATACACCTCCAAAACTTTTTCCAGTTTTAAGAAATTGGCTAAGAAACTACTACTGTATTTGTGCTGTCAAGAAGACTCTTGTGTGGTGTGGGAGACTGGACTAAACGAGCTCTAAATATCCTTTCCAACCCCAAAATCTGGAGTCATTTATTCTCTTTAAAAAAATTCCCTCACACTTTATCTGTTTAAAGTCTATGAAATGACACCAAGGTGTGTCTGAGCACAACTTACATGCAGAAAACTACCTCTGAATAATTCAGAGCTGCCACATATCTATCCATATGACATTAGAATTCAGCTTATTGCTGTGTGACCCTGGTCAAGTCACTTAAACCCATTGCCTAGCAAAAACCAACCAAACAAACAAAATCCCTCTACACATACAGGTCCGCCCCTCTTGGGCAGCTTATAGTCCTAGAAAGTTGCCTACAGCTCGGGAGGGGTGAGCCTTGCCCGGGTCACACAGCCAGAAGGTATCAGAGGCAGCTCTTAAACACAGATCTTGGCTCTGAGGCCAGTTCTCTACTCTTTATACCCATACTACTTGCTAGCTGAAAAGATTCAGGGGAAAAGAATATAAGATCTGGAGTCTACAGACCTGGGTGTTAATGCTGACTGTACCACTACCTAGCTGTGTGACCTTGGGTAAATCAATATGCCTCTCTGTTTCCTAATCTGTAAAATGAAGAGTTAGTGTTAGAAGATACTTGGAGACTTAGTGTTAAATGAGTAACAATAATGAATGATGCAAGACAGCTACTATCCAGTCTTCAGTACTTTGCTGTCACAAAAAGTTCAGACATCTTTGTGTGGCATTTAAGTCCCTTCTGCAATCTACTCTCCATTAATCTCATGTTGTTCCCCACTATGATCCAGTCAAACCAAGTGCCCCCCAAAATCTCCTGCTCCTTCCTGCCTTTATTCACACCATTAACAACAATAACTCACAGCTAGCATTTGTGTAGGCATTTTACACTTGCAAAGGCATTTTACATATTGTCTCATTTCATACTCACAATAACCCTGTAATGTAGATGCTATTATTTGTCCCCATTTTATAAACAAGAAAACTGAGGCTAAAAGAGGCAACTTGCCCAACATCATATAATTAGAAGTATTTCAAAAAAAACTATTTCAGAAAAGAGTGGAATTCAGATCTTTCTGACTCCAAGTCCAGCACTCTATAGAGGAATCTAGGTAAAATGATGGGCCAGGAGTCAGGAAGGCCTGAGTTCAGTTTCAGCTTCAGACATTTACTACCTGTGTGACCCCCATGCAAGTCACTTAACTTCTCTCTAATGCAGTTGCCTTCTCCATAAAATAGAGACAACAATTGTATCTATCTCCCAGGGTTGCTTTTAGGATCAAATGAGATAATATTTGTGAAGTACTTAACACAGTTCCTGGCACATAGCAGGCACTTAATAAATGCTTATTTTCTTCCCAAATACTGTACCATCTAGCTGCAACTTTCACACTGTCTGAAATGTCTTCCTATTCTTCCTTTGCTTACTGAATTCTTACTCATCTTTTAAAGCTCAACTCAAATTCTTTCTCCTCTAGCTATATCAATAAGAGAAAAAAAGAAATGGAAGGAATTAGAATAGGCAATGAGGAAACAAAACTATCGCTCTTTGCAGATGATATGATGGTATACTTAGAGAATCCTAGAGAATCAACTGAAAAATTGATTGAAACATGAATTCAGCAAAGTTGCCTGATATAAAATAAATATACATAAATCATCAGCATTTTTATATATTAGCAGCAAAGTCCAGCAGGAAGCAATAGAAAGCTTTCATTTAAATTTCATTTAATTTCATTTAAAATTTCATTTAAAATAACTGCAGACAATATAAAATACTCAGGAGTCTACCTGCCAAGACAAACCCAGGAACTATATGAACAAAATTACAAACCACTTTTCACACAAATAAAGTCAGATCTAAACAATAAGAGAAATATTCATTGCTCGTGGGTAAGCCTCATTTCTCAAACATATAGAAAAGAGTCAAATGTATAAGAATATGAATCATTCCCCAATTGATAAATGGTCAAAGGATATGAACAGACAATTTTCAGACAAAGTAATCAAAGCTATCTATAGTCATATGAAAAAATGTTCTAAATGACTGATTAGAAAAATGCACATTAAAACAAGTCTTAGGTATCACCATACACCTATCAGATTGGTTAATATGACAGAAAAGGAAAATGACAAATGTTGGAGGGGATGTGGAAAAAATTGGGACACTGGTGGAGTTGCAGAGCAACTTGGAGAGCAATCTGGAGCTATACCCAAAGGGCTGCAAAATTGTGTCTGCCCTTGGACCCAGCAATACCACTGATTTGTCTGTATCCCAAAGAGATCAAAGCAAAAAGAAAAGGACATAAATGAAAAAAAAGTGTGTAGCAACTCTTTTTGTGGCAAAGAATTGGACATTGAGGGTATGCCCATCAATTGGGAAATAGCTGAACAAGTTGTGATAAATGAATGTGATGGAATACTATTGTGTTACATGAAATAATGAGCAGAATGGTTTCAGAAAAGCCTCAAAAGATTTATATAAGATGATGCAAAGTGAAGTGAGTAGAACTAGAACAATCGTACATAATAACATCAGTGTTTGGGAATGATAATCAATTATGAATGACTTAGCTATTCTGATCAATACAATGACCCAAGACAGTTCCAAAGGACTTATGACAAAAAATCTATTCACCTCCAGAGAGAAAACTGTTGAAGTCTGAATGCAGATCGAAGTATACTTTTTTTTACTTTCTTTTTTTTTTTTTTGGTCTGTGTTTTCTTTTGCAGCATGGTTAATATGAAAATATGTTTTGCATGACTTCATATGTATAATCTGTATCATATTGCTGCCCTCTCAAGGAGGAAGGAGAGGAAGGAAGGGAAAGAACTTGAAACTCAAAATTTTTAAAAACAAATGTTAAAAAAAATTTGTACACATAATTGAGAAAACATATTAAAAATGAGGCCAAACAAAGCTGATTTAAACAAAGGAACAAACGAATGCTACCTCGTCTAAGAAACCTTATTTTGTCACTCTGGCTAGTAAGAGCTGCCTCTTGATTCCTTAAAAGCCACTTTTATAAGTGTTGAACTTATTCTAGTGGCACTTATTATAGTTACTTATTATTATCTTTTTCGATTTCATGGCTCCCACCATATTGTAAACTCCATGAAGGAAAGAACTGCATTAAAAAAAGAAAGCAGCTAAAATTTTTCTCTCCCCTTAGTGCCTATTACAGTGTTCTGCACACAATAGGCACATAATGGATATTTGCTATCCATTGTTAAATAATTGATGGCAAAATTTTGTGCACTATTACAAATGCAGTGATGGACTCAAGGAAGATTTCATAGGGACTTTAATTTATCTGACTAGATTTGATTAGTGAACAAAGTGTAGATGGGGGAGGAAGGAGGACAGAAGCATAAGGTTTAGGTATTTGGTAAATATTTACTGATTTAAATTGCCATTGCCTGGATGGTCAGACTTAGAAGACTACATATTAACATTACTTATATTCTGTCATATTTTTATTTATTTTGTTAAGTTTTTCCCAATTATATTTTCATCTGATTTCCTCCACACACAGGAGTGTTGCAAGAAGCAAGTGGGCCACTTGTTTGCCACTTATGGTTTAGAATTTCCCTTTTTCAAACATCAAGATAATGTTTGCTTTTTTTCTAGATGCAGCCCATTTTACCACGTATATGATGTTACCATGTATTGATGTTACTTCCTTAGTAGAAGTGAAAGTTTCCTTTATTTTTGTACTCTGAGGTCATATACAGTAGGAGAATTCAACTCCAGAACAGATGGAAAGATGCTGAAGTGAACTGAATTGATTATTTGAATTTAGACCTGTGTGGTGCAAATTGAGGTAAAAACTGGGATTCAGGTTGAATCTACCATGAGGCTTAATTATTATTACTTCATTTCTGTTTTCATTGCTTAGTGATGGTGAGTTTTTTAAAAGTTAAGTCTTAGAGATTCCATCCCATGAAGATATGGCTAATTCACCCATGCGGCTATGTCATATGCTTCTCTAGCATCCACCACAAGAACTGCACAGTCCAGGCCTTTAGTACACACCCAATAAAGACATAATGATTTATTGATTTTAAAAAAAGTTGTATTAGAAAGCAATCAATATTACAAAGTTTGAATAGACATTGTAAAGCTTACCACATGGTAGAGCAGTCAAAATTCACCAAAAGCCATTTGTGAGGATTGAAGTTATATGAATCTGCGAACTAATAGAGAAAAGCAATTTAAAAATGATTAGAAAATTAAGTTTCTTCTCCAGTAGTCAAGCCACTCATTCGTCATTGAACAAAGCTCTGACACTCTATCTAGCAATAATTATATTAATGTTAATAGACAGTCTAAAAATGATATGACCTCTTCAACCCCTCTATTCCTTGCCCATTTTGGTCATTCTGCCACAGTCATTGGCACCCAGGACTGAAGGTGATTTTGTGTTTTTCTTTGTTTCTTAGCTTGCTGTGGGCAAAAAAATTATCAATAATAGCCAATTTTCAGAGGGCCTGTGGTAAGAATGGTAGATCCTCCTGGGATGGTTTATGGCATCTATGGACAAGAATCACACAAGATGAGAAGGTACAGATGGGTTATGATCTCTACCAATGGAGGAGAATGAACTCATAGATCCATTGAAACACATTAATGAACTCATGGATCCATTAAAATGCTGAACATATAACTAGATCAGTATTCCAAGTTAAGAACATAATAACTTGAAAGAGGGAAAGCAAACTATTTTCTTACTTTTTGTAAGAAAAGTCTGGACACCTCTGCTCACTTTAATTGAGCTACTAGCTTCAACATGAATGTGTTATACTCTTTATACCCCACAGGTTCATAGACTATATCAGAATATATCATACAATATATCATAGAAATTATCAGGTGGCACAGTAGATAGAGGGTTGGCCTTGGAGTAGAGAAAACCTGAGTTGAAATCATGCTTTAGAGACTTTACTAGCTGTATAACTCTGGGCAAATCAATTAATCTTGCTGTGCCTCAGTTTCTTCATCTGTAAAATGGACTCAATCGCCTCTAAGATCTAATTTTTGACCTATTGTTTCAAATAACTCTCCTTCTACCTTTAAAGCATGCTGACTTTGGTAAACCACTATATGTTCAACCTGTCCATGTCCTCTGTGATTATTGTCAGATCGTATTCCTTTCCCAGCTTTTATCTTTTCAAAAGAAAGTATCTTTATTTTTTACCACAATAGTCTTATTTTATGGATTCTTCTGTCTGCTACTCAATGACTTTCAAAGGAATTTACAGATTTTGAAGGAATGTAGTGCACTATTACAGGGTGTTCTCAACACCAGACTGCTTCAAGAGGCTGAATTTTTTGGACAGAGCAATTCTCAAAGTTATCTACAAAATTATGGAGGAATCACTCTCAGTATCTGCAGGGGGAGCATCCACTTTGAAGAAATTGCAGTTCCTTGAAGTATTCAAATATTGAGGGTATATAGATGATTCTTATTTCAGAATTATTGAGTTTGAAAAATTAGAAATGTAGCCAGGATGTATTATAGCCTGAAATTAATTTAGCTTAGATTTGGGTATTTTTTTTTGTTTTTTTACTACATCTATGATTTCATTAGTTTATGGAACACCTAGTGAGGAAGCTCTATCAATGCTGATCAGCCAGTTTCCTGATATTTAAAGATTTAGAGTTTTGCCTAAGACATTGAGAAATTTAATCTCTCCAAATAAATTTTTTTCTCTCTGATGACAAGGACTATTTTTTTTTGTCTTTGTATCCTCAGCACCCAGCAGGTGTTAAGTAAAATACTTGTCAAATGAACAAATGATGGAGTAGTATTCAGATACACAGAGCACAGAATTTGGAGTCAGGAGAAACCTAGGTCCAAGTCCCAGTTCTACCACTTACTGTCTGTGTGCTTAGAGGCAAGTCGTTCTCTAAGACTAGAGTTTCTTCATTTGTAAACATATTAATAATATTTGCCCTACCGGCCTGACAGGGTTGTTGCAAGGAAAGTGCTTTGTAAGCTAACAAGGCTACAGAAATGTGAGCTTTTAGGATGATCTGCTTCCTCAGGGTTACAGCCTGCCTCTCTTCAAGGAAAGAACAAGAACTCTTAAGTTCTAAAATAATAACCCCAAAGCAGCATGCACAGCCAGGACTTGTGTGCTCTGATTGTAACACTTCAAACATGGCTTCAGATAAATACTACAATTTCTGGCACATACAAAAGGTATAAGGTTTTTCGTTCCCTGGCCAATGCACACGATCTGTGTTGTGTTGGAGGACTAGGTATCCTGTCCCCTCCCCACACACAGAGACACACATTGAATCCATTCTGTGGGTGCTTCTGGGTACTGGGAGCAGGGGAGACACAAAGAACTGAAAACTCAGACCCCTCATCTCCGAGCCCAATCTCATGGATGATCTTCTACTCTTCCGTCTTTGTTAATATTCTCTATCTTTATGAACCTCTCTTTTATTTGCAAAAGGGTATAAAGAGCAGAGGGAGCACCAAAGGAAGAAGGAAAAGTGTAAATATCAGAGGTGAGAAATCTCCAAGACAGTTGGTGCCTAACTCCTGTGCTGATAAAGCCTGACCCCTTACTTAATTTCCTACCAGATTCCAATAAAAGTAATTTTTTTTAAAGACAGGAAATTACAGTAAGCTTAATTTGTTGATAAGAAGGAAACAAAAGGTTAAAAAAGGGCTTTGTTTGTTAGGAATTTTATTAGTTCTCTCCTATGTGGCTGTTTTGTTTAAACTTCTTTCATTACGGAACAGTGATATTTTCCTCTGGCTGACAGGAGAGAAAGGTCTTATCTTGGAGCCTAGGGCTACAGCAGGAAATTGCAGCCCCCTTATCTGACCCTCAGAGCAGCCAGTTCCTTATTCAGACAGGGTAAAGAGCAGTACACAATATTGAAGGTAAATTCCACATGACTCATTGCCAAGGATTAAACTCCGTCTGCCATAGATAGGATCTTGCTCTCATGTCCATCAGAGGGACTGCCATGATGCCTGTGCACCTTGCTCTCTGAAAGGTAAACCCCCAACTTGTTGAGGACCCTTCAAAAAAAAAACAAGTAGAGATCCTAAGGATGTTGGAGCTAGAAAGGCACTGGAGAGACACCATTTAGTCTAAAAGCTTGCCTTTAAGGCAAAAGCTAGAACATTCAGGAGAACAAAATAAGTCAAAAGATTTAACCATGCTCGAGGAGAGACACAGCTTGGCAGTGTGGACAAAGCAGTGTATAAAAGGTTGACCCTGGAGTCTCATATTATCTCTGTGACGCTGAGCAAATCTCTTAACCTTTCTATAAGTTGAAAAATAATTGCTGATATGCATTAATAGGGGAAATTTACTCATTATTGTTGTTCTCTATAATTATACAATCACAGATCTATAAAAAGAGGTTTAAGGTACTGTGGACACAAAGAAATATTTAGTCTGCAAAGACTGTCCCTGCCCTCAAAGAGCTAACATCCATGTAATTCTCATGGATTTGCACATATACCTTCGGCAGAATATGAGCCCCTTGATGACAGGGACTATTATGGCTTTATTTTTGTATCTATAAACCCACACAGTGCCCACTACATAGTAGGTGCTTAGTAATGGTTTGCTATTGAATTGAATTTGGTTGATCAAGCTTTAAGAAGCAACTATCATAGTGAATAGACAGTGAGCCTCAGAGCTAGAAAGACCTTAGTTCAAGTCTTGCCCTTTAACCCTTACTGACAGTGTAAACTTAAGTGAGTCACTTAACCTCTGAAAAATCTAGATTATAAGTCATAGAGAAAGTACCAATTTATATTGGTAGAGGGAATTTGCTCACTTGACACCTATATTGATGCAACTTCAGGTCCAGTCCCTATCCCTATCTCAATCAAGCTTGCCACAAAAATAAATCCTAACGAAAGGCAAAGGGATACACATGCTCACCTCAACCCCATTCAGAAGATGCCGAAATTCAGGGCAGATGAAGGAACTTCCTGCATATGCTGCATCAATATGCATCCAAATATTCTCCTTATTACCTAAAATACAGAAGTGTTTGAGAGGTACAAACCTATAAAGCCTGATGGCCTTATGACTTCGAATGTTATATTCCTTAATTTCTGAGTTCCCACAAGGTCCTGTATATAAGTGGTTCCTTACCTAATATGCTGACATTTACAAAGCATGTTCATGCACATTACCTCATTTGACCTTCATACTAACCCTACAAGGTTATATTATTACCATTATTAACAAAGGAGGAAATATGCTTTGTAAAGTGCTTGCCAAAGTACACACTACATAGTAAGAGGCTGAAGCCAGGAGTAGAACCCAGGTCTTCTAAGTAGCTAGATAGATAGTGTAGTAGATGAGATTGCCGGATTTGGATTTAGGAAGCCCTGAATTCAAATCTTGCTTCAGACACTAGCTGTGCGAGTCACTTAACCTATCTCAACCTCAGTTTCCTCATCTGTAAATTGGGCATCTACCTTACAGGATTGTAGTGAGAATCAAATGTAGCACACATAAAGCACTTTGTAAATGCTACCTATTATAACCATTCTGACTCCAAGTCTAATGTCCCCTGCTGCTCCGTAAAGTAGGCGTGCAATAAATATTTGTTGATGAGAATAACTGAATTCCTAAAACACCTCTTTCATCATGTCAGTCCTCTACTCAAAAGCCTTTAATGGCCTTCTATTACTTATGATATCAAGCCCAAGTTCTTCAATAGGAATCACTTTCAAGGCTCATGATAATCTAGCTTCATTTTAGCTGCCCAAGCTTGTTTCACCAGTATGATCTCTATTCTGGTCATGCCAGTTTCTCTCCCTACACATCATATTCATTCTTGCCTCAGTCTGCTATTTCCCAAAATAAGATGGAAGTTCCTGGATGTCAAGGATTATTTTGTTTTTGTCTCTATATCCCAAGTACCTAGCTCTGTGCTTGGCACATAATAAGTAAGCACTTAATAAATGCTTGTTGGTGTTGAAGATGTTGTAGAATTCTCTTTAATCCACTTGGAGCACCCTTCCCTCCCCAAAATACCCTTACAAATGCCCCCATTGAAATCCTATCTAATTTTCAAAGTTTAACTCAAGTCCTACCTTCTCTGTTATGGTTCCAGTCTATGTGGATTTCTATTCCCTGTAGCCCAATTGCAATTATTGCCTCTACCACACAAGTCAGTGCGTAATTATACACCAATAAGCTGCAAACCATCTTGAACTCTATTGTGCCAATAGGTCAGGGTCTTCCCCCAACAGGGAGGAAGAGGAACATGCAGATGGAAAAACAATCTTACCTACTCATGACTGGTACATTTCAAGGCTCCTGGGGTCTGTTTCCCTGAGAATGATACCTTTGCAAATAAACCCAGCTCTCTCTGTTACTTCAGTATAAAACCGCAGACCTCTCAGGCTATTCTGAATCAGTCTCTAGTCTGGATAGAGTCAATTTCTGGGTTGTGGTTATGTGCACAACTTCATTTCTCAGAAATAGACCCAGATTGAGAACCAAGGGTGGTGGTGAGGTAGGAACACATGTCTCCTTGTTTCCTTTTTGTGTGAGTTTTCAGCTTGTGGTTTGTATGCTAATAATAAACCCTGTAGTTAGATTAGAGATAGGTAGAATAGAGGTAGAATTGATCACCCAGTCATTGATTAGGGCAGGGCTAAACAAGATGTAGCCCCGGATGTAATAGTATATTGCTGCACCATAAGAAAGCAACAAACACTTATTTAGCATTATGTTTCAGTAGCTGGGTATACAAAGAAAGGCAAACAATGTTGTCACTGGCCTCCAGGAACTCATTCTAATGGAGGAGACAACATATAAATAACTATGTATACGAGATATACAAAGCTAATCTCAGAGGGAGAGGAAAGGCACTAGCTATAGGGATAGAGGGTAAACAGATTGGAAAGGTCCTCTTGCAGAAGATGGCATTTGAGCTAAGTCTTGAAGGAAACCAGGAAAGCCAAGAGGCTAAGAATTCAGAGAAATATGGGAAGACTTCTATGGATTAGTACTAAGGGAAGTAAGCAGAACCAGGGAAGCAATAGACACAATGACTACACAATGTAAATAGAAAGAACAGTCAAACAAATGGAGCTGAATTCTGTGTGATAATAATGACCAAGCTTGGACCTAGAAAAGAGTTGAGAAAATGGATATGTCTTCTTTCATTGTGATATTGTATGTGCACTATTGAATATACTTCAGATACAATCAATGTCTTTGTGAGTTTTACTTTTTTTTCTTTTTTTCTTTTTATTAATCTTTGTTTCAAGGGATGGCTCACCGTGAAGGGGATAGAACAAAGATATGTTCAGAAACGTCTTTCATAAAAACAAAAGACATCAACAAAAATAAGATAAAATAAATGTAGGAAAGGTAGACTGCAGCACTACCATAGAGCTGGGCATGTACTCTGATCGTTTACTAAAGGACAGAAATCGTGTTAACACCTCTCAACTGGTCTCTTGGCATCTATGACAAAAGCTAACTGCTCCTGAGTCAGGAAGAACATTCTGTCAGTAAAAGCATGAAGAGCAAAGCTCTACCCTTCTTTTGAGAGGCTAACTTTGAAACTCTACCTTCTGTTCCTTAGACTTCCAGTAAGGGTGGGAGCAATTTTTTTCTCCCCTTCACCCCAGTGGCAATGTTGGTCCACAGAGCAGTAAGACCATGTGCTTGCCTCCAGGGAGCCTGAGTTCCTGGCTGCCTTTTTCCTTTGTGTGTGTGTTTTTTCCCCGTGAGCGTAGGCTTCTGAGCAGCAACCAATGATTCTGAGAGATGTATATTCCCAGCCTTGGTGACAAAGTGGTAAATTTGAGTTTCTGGACTTCTGATTCAGTGATGGCTGTCAGTGGGAGGGGATTCCCATAACAGCATGGCTTTCTGAGGAGAAGAGCACCCCTATCAAGTGGATGCCACTATTGAAAGGATTAAGCGAGTCCAAGCCATAGTCTGGCTGACAAGATCTGTCTGGAACTTGTGAGCTTTTCAAACAACAAATGTCTGAAGTGAGAAGGAAATAATCTGTTCATCAGTCCCACAAAGTACTTTTACCTTTTAGAGATACAATAATTATGAGGGGCTATTGATTTATGTTTTAAGTATATATTGACATGTGTTCATGAGATCTGTGTGTATTAAGTTTTTTGTGATGGAGGAAATAGCTATTATACACTTGATATTTATTTTGTACATATCAGCTAGGTGACACGGTGGACACTGGGCCTGGAGTCAGGAAGACCTGAGTTCATATCTGGCCTCAAATACTTAACTAGCTGTGTGACCCTAGGTAAGCCACTTAATCTCTGTTTGCTTCAGTTTCCTTCTCTGTAAAATGGAGATCATAGTAGCACCTATCTCCCAAGGTTGTTATGAGGATCAGATAAAGCAGTTAGCATAGCGCCTGGTACATTGTAAGCTCTATATAAATGTTAGTTATTATTATTAATTATTATTATTACCATTGAGTACTTTTTTTAAAGCAGGGACCCATGTTAATCCTTCCTAGGGAAATTCTACACTGAAATCCTAAAGCTTTGCATGAGAGATTTTCCCCAGAGTTCTATTTGGGGGTAATATGTAATGATCTGGAGAGAGTTTAATTTGGGGTAAGTCCATCCCAGGGTTGATTTCAGACTTCATGTGAGTACAGGGTTAAGAACCTCTTGTAGGAATGGGCCCACGATGGGTCACTTAAGGTTGGTTGGTTTGTTTGTTTTAAGAACAGAAGTTTAAAAACAGGCAGAGAAATATAGAGGGGACTAAGCTTGTTTCTTGAGATTCAGAACTTTACTAACTCTGATGGTGAAAAAAACAAAGCCATCACATTTTCTGGGTAACAATACCCTCTTGGGCAGCTTTTATGCTATAGATTCTTCCCAGCTCCCACCTGCTCCATCTGGAATCCCACTCGATGCCTGCTATATTCTTGCTCCCAAGGGGCTTCAGCTTCTGGGCCCTAACTGCTATGTGGAACTAAAGCCTTGGATCAGGCTTCATGTCTATACCACTTCTTTTGCCTGGCTACTTAGCTCTGGCCCATGAAAGGAAACACTTTGTTTCACTCTCTGTGCCCCCAGCTTCAGTTTCCTGCATTGAAAGGACTTTTATACAAGTAATGAAAACTGATGGGTAGGTACTCTCCAAATAATATGGTCAAAGGACACGAACAGACAGTTCTCAAAGGAAGAAATCCAAGGTATAAACAGCCATATTTAAAAAATGCTTCAGATCACTAGTAATTAGAGAAGAGCAAATTAACTGATTAGAAAAGATAACCCAAAAAAGAACATGACCAAATTTGGAGTGGCTGGAAGAAAACAGGCAAATTAACACACTGTTGGTGGAGCTGTGAAGAACTGGTCCAGCCATTCTGGAAAGTCACTAACCCAAAGAGATTAAATTAAGAGGAAAAGTACTATTGTACAAAAATTTTACAGAAAGTCTTTTTGAATGGTAAAAAATCTGGAAACTATGAGGGGATACTCAACAATTGGAAAATGGCGGAACAATCTATTTTATGTAAATTTAGTGGAATACTATTGTGCTGCAAGAAATGATGAAGGGCATGGTTCCAGAGAAACCTGGGAAGACTTGTATGAACTGACAGAGTGAAGTGACCAACGGGAAACCAATTTATACAATAACAACAACATTATAAAGACAAACAACTTTGAAAGACATAAGAAGTCGGACTAATTCAGTGACCAACCTCCATTTCAGAAAACCAGTAATGAGTATGACCTCCTGACAGACAAGTGATAGACTCAAGATGCATAATGATATACATTTTTGGAGCAGGACAATGTTGGAATTCATTTTGCTTGATTGTGCAAGAGTTTTATTTATCTTCTCTTCCCCTAGCACATAGTAAATGCTTATAAATGCTCTGTCTATCTATCTATCTATCCATCTATCTATCTATGTAATAAGGAATAGGGGTGAGAGAGAAAATTAAATTTTAATATTAAAAGAATACTAAATTGATGGCAAGGGCAACCTGAAGCTATCTGGCCTC